TTTGGAGTCATGCATCAGCAGAAACCAGAGCAGGTCTGAGCCCATTCCCACTGAGGTGATATTAGAGATGGTGAAGCGCTTGGAGTCTCCAAATCCACAGAAGAACCCATGGGAGACAAAAAGCATTTACCTCAACACTACAGACAATTTGTCCAAATGTGACATGTAAGACAGCAAAACAAGCAGTTACTAACACTTTTTACTGAAGTGCAATAATTGGATATTAATTGGTTGCATCTGTCTGTGGATCTGACTTGTCTTCAGCCAGAAGGTAATGGAGTTGATCTCCTCTGCACTGAGCAACCCGCTGAGCCCTGTAGAGGACAACACTGAACAAAAGGTGTGTCAGCGTTAATAAGAATTTTAATATATGCAACTAGAGTGGTGGAAAATGTATTGTTTATCTATTGTTATAAATTGTTGTCCTGTACTATGCAGGAAGCCGCCCGTCTGAAATGTGCCTCTAGTGTGGTCCACCAGGCTGACCAGGCCTGTCGACGCCTGATCTCTGAGGCCATGAAGACTGCCAGAGGTCAGCTGAGAGCTTCAATAATATTTGACATTTCACCGTTTACTCACTTTGTCATTTGCAGCCCTGTCGTAATGATACATTTGTCACCTTAACTTCAGAAAATCAAGTGTCCTCTGGACACATGAGGTCTCTGGCGACCCAGCTGAATGAATCCAAAGCAACATTTCTTCACAACCTGCGAAAACAGTTGCTTCAGGAAACGTCGCTCACTCAAGAAGAGGACTTTGATGTGGAACGTGTGGTGAAAAGAGCAGTGGATGTTTTCGACCACGAGAAAAAGGAGATCTTGCTGAGAATCATAAATGACCATAAATGACTTTTTTCCACAAAGCAATATTTAATTGCATCCAGTCATTAGTGAATGTGTGTAATTTGTATTTAATTAAATGTAAATAAAATGCTGGTTACCTCAGTTCTTGGAACATTGTGGCATCATTTTATTTAGAAAGAAAAACTTGAAAGAAATATTTTTTAAACACTCAATAAGCTACTGTGTAGTGGCCATGTATGTGGTTTCTGCAAATATGGTGTGAAGTGTTGATCAGATAACATCTTGTTTGTCAGGATACACGTGATATGAGTTTAAATTGATAAGAGCCCATTAATCTCAAAGTTACTATCTTCTGTCCAAAATAAGTTAATCACATACAAACAACTTAACCAACTGAATAAGTCTTTACTTTAGACCAAGATTACAAATACTCTTATTATTATTTCCACAAAATCAGAAACTACTACTTAAAATAAAAAGTAACATTATTTCACATTACATCATCAACAGGTTATTATTGTTGTTATTATTATTTCTTACTAATCATAACCAACTTATTCTAACGGTCACACATATTCTATAGTATCAAAGATATTGCAAGTCATTGTCCTCATGTCGTCCCCCACCCCAGCACACTGAAATGGAAGTTACACAGACACGCCGTGCTGGCAGTGCATTGAGCAGTTCAGAAGAAAACTGAAGTGTTGGCCGAGCTGCCAAGCAATGTCGATCAACAGGGCTGCGTGGGAACAATGCATTCGCACTCTGCTGCAGCCTGAAAGGTTTGGACCACTCTGTGCTGGACCGGATCCACTTCTTCTTTTCCTACTGATGACATATTCTACTATCCAAGCAATGAGATATGAAGTGTATCAACTTGCAAGAAAGCGTGAGCTCTGTTTTCTGTGTACAGGTTAAACCACTGAATGTTCTGCGAAAAGACTATGTCTGGTAGTTTTGCTAAGTTTTAGCGCCATACATTACAATCCTTGTATATTTAGATTATCTATTTAAAATTTTTAAAGAACTGAGCTTATATAATGATTTCATGCTTTCAAACTTATCAAATCCTTGAATCCATGGAGCTTTTCTGCAAGCAGCTTACTGGTTTGCATGGCAAGAGTGTGTGCTGTGAAGTTATGTGCGGTTGTTGATGGATAGTAATTAGTTTACATAGGTCTGACTCGTTGTACTTGTAGTTTGTAGAAGTGAGTGTTCTGGACTGGTTGGTTGTGGCGAGATCATTGGTAGGTTGAATGGTGGTTCCTGTGATGAAGATTGAGTAATGCTGTAGCATTAGTGTAATGTTGTGGCAGGTGAGGGCTAGTGACGCGGTGTAGAAATCCGTAGAGGCAAGGTTGTGATGATGTGCTATTTGTCGCCATTGCGAACCAGTGTGGTTGCGGGGAGGATTGGGGGGGCGTCTTAGATAGTCGGGTCATGAATCATATGTGTACGTAGCAGTTGTTTTCATTTTATGGTTCGACGATGCTGGGCCTATCCCGCCAGTATGGTTAAGGGTGGAGACATATGATTCCATTTGCAGAAAGGGCAACAAATCCAGACACCGTGTATAGGTCATTATAAAGACTCGTAGAAAAGGTGGAAAAATCGTACAGTGGGATTTCATCAGTGGAATGACAAAGCCTGTTAAAACTTGGATGACTGCCTACCAGCAGGTCTGGGATTTTTTTAGGCACAGGCACGTAAAGTAAGCAGAAATGTGATTAATAGCTTGGGATGTGATGCTGGTTTGAGTTTAGGGTTGGAAGAGTTAGGAGTGTTGCGATGCTTCCACCCTGCTGGAGCTAACCGAGACTCTTAGTCGATGGAGCTGATGACCATGGCACGAGACTGAAACCACAACTCTGGAATCCTGTCTCAGATGGAAGAAAGGGGGTTGGGGTGAAAACTGAGTTTTGACCTTTCAGGTACTTCAGAGAAAACCAGGTGCTTAGACTGGGACATTGCCATTGTTCCCTCCCAATGGCCAGTTCTTTGACTGTGTCTTCGCTCGTGCTGGTCTGGACAGAAACAACAAACTCCACGCTCATGCAGTGCCATAATATCTTCTTCAACTCTGTTGCTTAATTACCTCCCATGCTCCCAGTGATGGTCAATTGTGTAGAGCAAGGTGTGGGTTTTCACATTCGAGGATCATCCCGCCAGCCAGGATGGCAATGAGAGGACTGGATGGTGATCCAGAGTCGTGCATTAATAAGCGATTGGAAACTTCCAACCACAAGCATTAAGAGATGGAAACAATTAAACTGCCTTGTAAGAATTTATAGCTCTTTTTTCGCATCCATACTGTTTGGAGTTTTTTTTTTTTT